AGGTAAAGTAAATTACTGTCTCTAGAACAAATGGCTCCCTGTCCCAGCTGCAAAAATGGCGGCAACTTGAAAACTACCCACAGACATTCTTGGGTACAGCCACGGTGTCATCCACAAATAACCGAGAACTGCGAAGTAAAAAATTTTGAACTTGGGGGGGGCCCCTGTATTACATAAACAGCTCCTTCCCTGGCTGGCTGGTTAGTTCTCTGTTTAAACATATTACCAGGAACTTAATACAACACAATAACTCATTAGGGTTGAGTGTGGGATATTTTTTTTTCTTGTGAAAATTTACTATTTTACAATAATGTTTTATTAACCTGGCACTGAAGGAACCAAAATAATGTGGGAGTTATGATGAAAATACTTAGTGTCATTTTAATGGGGTTGGGCTGGCAGAAGTCTCCCAGAGGAGGAACTTTTGCCGAGTCATTCCACCCTCAACTGCCATACACCTGACCCTCGCTTTATGCTTGGGTTACGTTCTGCACGCCTAACTCGAAATGGCATAAAATGAATTCTAAATCTTATGGGTAAAATGGTGATGTGTTCCACAACCATTTCTGGAGCTCCCCAACTTAAATTCTGGCTCATTTTCTTCACTAGAACACAACAGTAATGCTATAAAAGTTGTGGAAAAATCATAATACTCTTATGTGTCTTAGAAAAAATAAATATATCAAACTATAAAATAAAAATGGCAACTTGCCATCTCATAAGCCACCTCATCCACAAATTTTCCCTTCCATATCTTGGAAAAGAAAAAGAGGGAGCATTAAGTGAACTGTGGGTAGAGGTAGGGTCCTCGTATAATTGCGAATTCACATATAGAGAGTGCACACAAAACGAAGGTCAGGTGTACCTAATTTTTACCCTACACAATTCCTTTCCACTCTTTATTTTCCTTATTTTATAGTTTTATATATTTAATTATGTCACATTAGAGCATTGTATTTTAGTATTGTACAGTCATCCCTTGGTTATCACACCTAATTGGGACCGCGCCGAGTGCGTGATAACGAAAAACGCGATAACGAAGGTACAGAACCTATGGGATTTATTCTAATTGGTTCCAGGCACCCAAGATCCAACTCCAATTTTCCCATTTTACGACCATTTATACCCACTAAAGATACAGATAATGTTATGGTAAGTATCAGAAACACACATAGGCATGGCTAGGTTTATTACAAAGTGATGAAAAAGGTACGCTCAATACTGTTGTCCACAAAACATGTAGCTATGCTCTCTTTATTTGAGTCTCCCATCTGAGGAGTCCGTTTTCTCATCGCTTCAGGACGCCTGAGTCCTCCGTTTTATCTCAGTTTTAGAGTGCACCCGAGACTTCGTTATTCTTTAGTAATGACACAGAATTTGAAATTGCAACCCCAATTGCAACTGGGGTTGCAATTGTTGAGGCAACTTAGATATGTCTGATTACAGCAAATGTGTTATTGTCAATTTGTAGGTGAAAGATTTTATCCTTAATAGATGTAGGTGAAGCAAAGGGGTAAAAACACTTGGAGGCAACTGCATGATAACGAAATTCTCGGCTTCAAAAAATGCGCAGTAACAGCAGGTGTGCAGATTTTGATGGAGGTGGGATAACGAAAATCGCGATAACCAAGTGCGCTATAACCAAGGGATGACTGTATTGTAGTACTGTATTTGAGATTTTAGGGGAGGGGTTTGGTATGTAGCAAATTTGTTCAGAATAGAGAGGTACTACTGGAATCTGAGGAGCTCAGTATAGAGGTAATACTGTAGTACTGTTAAATTCCAGTATATTCCCTATATGGAAATACAGAGCAAGTATCTCATCTTGCTATCAGAAACAGTAAAGATTATTATCAAACTAAGTACACTACAATCTAGCCTGGAAAGTACTCTGACTACACTGATTTATTTACATTTGTGACTAAAGTTTTCATGTACAGTATAGTATTGTCATCTACAGTAGTCATTAACTTTATGTAATTTCCATAATTTTTATATACTGTGCCACTGTTTTGCCCTTGTGTTAGAATTGAACTTCTTAAAGCTGTTAAAGAAAATGTATTTCACATTTAAGATAAAAAATACCTACCCTGAAAACAGCAAGGACACACACACCCACCTCTCTGTCTCTCTCGTGGTATCAAAGTTTTGTATTTCGTACTGAATGTTTTTATTATACTGTAGTTATTAGAATAGTTCACATAAATTCTACCCAAAATGTGATCAGCAGTTTTAGCAAAAATATAAAACTTTGCATGATTTATGGAGCTGGGAAGGTTAAGCTAGGACAGAGGCTCTTGTTTAGTTGTATTGTGCAATGTATGAATTTATAAATCTTTATTCTAGAAATCTTTATCATCTTGTCTCATATTCTTACAAAATGAAATCTTTGAAAAATGTAATACAATCCTTGGCTATTGTACATTAATAGAAAATTAACTATCACTAATACTGTATCTACAGAAATTAATTTTCAGTGAACTTTTCAAGTGTGTTGATTTAAAAAAAAAACACCTGTCTAGAAGTTAAAGGGAGGGGTGCTTTGTACACCCTTCCAGAGTCTTATGTTCCCCCCTAAACTGTTTTGTTGATTGGCAAATCATTTAAGTAATAATATTAACTTGGTTTCATGTTGAGGCATCTATTGATTACTACTGTAAATATGTTTTGTTATTTCCCAGGAGTTCAAACTTAACTTAACCATTTCAAATAAATTTATGAATGTTGATATTTTTACAAACTAATGGAAAATTTATGTTATTCATGTTGTTAGCCTGACTACCAAATTTGTCAGTTGATTTGTGAAAATATTGATACAAGGGGTACAGGTAAATGAGTTTTGAATCCTTGTGTGAAATAAGGGCATCTTACAGGAATACAGTACAGTATTGGATGCCAGATAAGACATCTGTGATGTTCAGATTGTCCCTTTAAACATGTAGACACACTTTCACACAAAAAAATTATTGTACAGTAATCTGTGTACCTGTACATTAGGGGAACCTTACCATGATAGTATCATGCTTACCAAGAATCCTGTGTTTGTCATTTCTGGGGGTATTTTCTCTCTGGCATATATGCCAAACCTGCAACTCTTCCTTCTTCATATAGCTGTACCTTTTAAAGTTGGGCACACGGGCATTTTGATAAACTACAGTACAATGTATAACTTTGTAATGAGGACACTCATTAGACTTGGGCTTAGTGTCCACCTTTACAATTTATTCTTTTTTGTGAATATGGATAAAAAGCTTTGTAACAATGTCAGTTACTGAGAAAGATATATGTAGCATGGAGGATTTTTATGTTTACATAGGTCGTGACAGGATAAGGTAGCTAGACTCTGAGCATGTCACCAATCACAATGTGCACCACTTTCTATCAAACCAATTCTCCAACAAAACCACACCACCACTGTATGAACACAATCCTGTTACTGGAAGGTAATCCTCAAATTGCCACCTGGGAGTGCTAACATGCACACAGAGAAAACTAATATTACCAGACTGTACTGAGTGTTCACCCTCCCAGCAAAAAGCCTTATTCACCTTGCTTCACCCTGATTGACTTGGACTCCCTATTACTGTGCGTAACCTCAGTTGACCTGATCATTGAGCCGCTAACTCTGACACTTCTGGTGCCAACTACAAATATGATATCGGTCTCCTATCATCATAACCAGTGTCAGGGTTGGTGGTACAGTTCTCAGGTCAGTCCAGCCTGGACTTTGTTGTACCCTCTTCCCCTGGCTACAGGCCTGGATTGTTGTCTCAACCTAAATTGCAGCTAGTCATCTGATGACTAAGGTCTGTCTGATGTCCTAATTACTCGGACATTTTTAGTATTTGGGGCTAAAAGTTCTGTCCACATTCATGGTTTGTTTAGTATCTGTGCTTTCCAGTTGGGATTTAATGGAAATGTTTAGTTATATATTTGGGATTGAAAAAAAAATATCTTCCATGTGTATATGGTGTCTGGGTTATCTTGTGTCCTGATTTCAAGGTTCCACTGTATTACTCCTGCCCAACAGGTGCACGGCTCACTCTGCTTTAATATAGAGCACAATGTCATCAGCATAGCTGTGAGTGTCATTTTAAACGAAAAAGATATTGGATATATGCAGAGGGAAAGAACATAAAATACAGTTTGCTACAATATATACCTAGAGGAGAATTGATTGAAATGGAAAAAATAAATATAAAAATACAGCAATATCAGTCCTGACACGAGGAGAAAAATTCCACCAAGAAGTTGCCTGACAGAGTACCTGTACTGGGTAGGCTACTCACCACTCATCATTATGATGTGTTAGTTTGTGAAAGAAAGACAACATAAAGTACAAGCTCTGGACAGATTAGCATACATTAATGCCCACTAATGTGCAGGTTTACCACATCAGTTTAAATATGAATTGACATTAGTTTTGTAGAGACACAGGTCATGTTATTTTTCACACATTATCATCACGTGAAGAAAGAGCATATGGTTGTGTTGCAGATACTATATTTGAAATGATCTTTTGTTAACTCTCCTAAATAGTTCTTTGATCATTTTCTATAACCTTTGTTCATTCAACTTTACAAATGAAAATAAGTCTGAGAGGGTAAGCTACCATTCTCTTGAATGCATGAAAGGGTAGCCTTTAGTTCCATTTCACCTTTACGTGTAAAAGAAGGCTGTTCTAGATGTTACGTTATTTTAAAGTTGATGTGACCTTGTTCTCTCACGACAGCCTTATGCATAAAGGTAAAATTAGAAAATATAGAAATTTCTGAAGGAATATAATGCACTTCATTGTGTGCTGTTATTAGATACTTGTAGGATAGATTTTAAAGTATCTTATCATCAAAGTCCTCACCAAATGTGATGTCATGTAACATTGCCTTAGGGGCCTGGCCTGACATGCTAACTTTCATATGTTTTGCTAACCGCCATGCTGCTTTGCTAACAAACCACCCATTGGCTGGCCTCCCTTGGAACACCACCCCATCACACCTCAGCGTTGTCATAGTGTCGAGCAGAAACACTGAAGTACGGGATAGTGAACAAGGCGTCAACCTCTATGTCCTTGCAGGACATGAGAATAGTTACTGAGGCTTCGCAAGATCTGATACTAAGGCTCCTAAACATCTATCTGTAAGCCCCTTATGCGAGATTTAATATTGGATAGTCACGTGTTGGTATATTTTTATTATGACCTCCTTCACTGTTGTTAGCATGTTTTTCTTCATGTCTTACTCATTAAGTTTCTGGCATGAAGTACAGTACAGTACAGTTTACTGAAAGATAAAAAGGAGTAAGATAGTTAATGATTTTCATGATGTGTTTCATAACCAGTACAGTATTTGTTATTAAGAATATTCCTTGTTCCTCAGGATCATTCTCGCCATGATTGAAGTATAGGAACTTTATTATTGATATGTTTGTGTATGTAGAACCAGAAACTTTTTTGTTTTGTTATTTTCAAACGTGTTTTTGAGTTAATTAAAAATTATGTGACCATAATGAGAGCCAACAGATCCAATTACTAAAGCTGCATGTTGAGCTATTACTGTATAGTGTGCTCTTGCATGACTGACTGTTGTCACCCCACACCTACATTCTCTTGTACAGTACTTTTTATCCTTATCCACTATAATTGTATTCATGATGTTTTTGGTGATAATTAATAATATTATGAAATGAACTTAACTCATTTTATGAATATTCTTGTTTTTCTAAGATTGATGAGTCTGAATGGAAAGTCAGTTCTTGAAATTTAGGATGATTATTTAAGCACAGTATACAACCAGATTCTGAACACCAGTAAGACTCTGTGAATCAAACAGCTAAATGAAGCTTCTTTGTAGATTTTCATGTATATTTGAGCTTTAAGGTAAAAGCAGATTTATATAGATATTAAGGCACTGTCTTCTATGTTGACAATGATGATGTTCATTACAGAATTATCACCCTGGAGAGCCGGCCATCGTCAATGTTAGAGTGTGATAGTGGGACGCTGACCGAGGCCAACCAAGGAGTGAACCTCTATATTCTGGCTGGCCATGAGTCTAGTATGTACTAGTACTAGACATCAGAAATATGAAGTGCTAAGCAAAGGACTATGTCTAGAAGAAGAATGGAGTTAGTCCAAGTGTGAGGTAACATGATTCTGATCATGATACAAAGATACTGAGTGCTGATGTACCAAGTACTATACTGCTCATAAAACTGAAATTTGGCAAAAACCTTGATCAAGGTTTAATCCCTATTACAGTGTACTGGTAAAAGAAATTGAAGTGATAGTTTCTAAGACATATTCAGATTGGAGGAGACTTTAGTGCTGTGTTTGCCTTAGATAATCCTCATAGAGGTGGATGCAGAGAAACTGTACTTCTTGGTCATAAGTATCATGTGAATGACTTTTTTTTTCATTAAGGTTATAAACTACCAAAGAAATGAATAACAGTATATTGTAGCATCAAAAATGACAGTTTAACCTGAAATACAAGAAAGTGTCAGATTAGCAAATAGCTAGGTTATCATTCCCAATCACTAAGGTGTGTTTTGTTACTTTCAAGTGGGAACGTGTAAAAGTTATACCTCGTACCCTTGCAAATTAGAAACTGGCTCAACAGCAGTACAAACAAATTTTGCATATCATAATTTCGAATCACCATATTTATTAGCGCAATCTGTGTGTACTGTACTGTTGAAATAAATCAAGTGTCGCCCATCATCTCTAACTGAAGCCGGTTAGTACCACTTGTGTTGAATCTCCTAAGGTAAGATAATGCACAGGTTTTTTCTCTTGTTATTGAATTCTAATAATGACACACAAAGGCAGTAGCTAGTAGGATAGTTAAATTTTTCTGTATTGCAAAGTCCATGATATTTATTGTTACAAAGGGATTGAAAATTATTTGTTAGAATTCAAAAGTTCCATATTTCTTACAAAATTTCTTTTTGTTCTTTTAAGTATATCACACATAACCTCCATTAATAAATGCTAAACTAATTTTTTAAAGACTAAATTCAAGTCTTCTTAGCGGCTCAGGACAAAGTTTTGTATGACAGTGTATAAAGAGCATTTTTATGATAGGTGTAATAGAAGCATATCCTTTGAGGTGCATGACAAATGGAGATAGTTAAGCCTTTATAGCTTGATTCAGAATTACTCACCTCCCAAAACTTATTTTTAATGAAAATGCAAGAAATAGGATAATGTGACCATTATTGAATAGTCATGAAATTTGATTATCCAGTAGAAATTCAGATTGAAATCCTTATCTTGACTATACAGTACAGTATAGCCTAAAATCAAATTATCAAGGTTTAGCTATTTTGTTTACAAATGCACCACATACAGAAGTGCTCCATTGCAGTTTTAAGTGAAACTCAAATCAGCTTAATGCTGTGAGCTCAGTACTATAATCTAATTTTTAAGGATTATTAATTAAATATCTTTTCAGATAACCTGAAGTCCAGAACATAATATTTCTCAGTTGTACCAAATACTGTACTGTCATCTTAAAGTCAGGTGCAGTTTGGAAAACTTTACTGTTCCACCAGCATCTGTTGGCAGTGGGATCACACTAATACCTCACTTATATAAGATCCATCAACCAGAAACAAATTCCTTGATCTGAAAATATTCTATACTGTACACTGGAATTTTTTTCTCTTTAATACCAAGAGACAAAGAAAAGAATCAGATGCCTTAAAGAGTTTTTGTTGGATAGATCACATGTAATTGAGGTATTGCTTTGCACTGTACAGGTTATATGGAGAGAAGAGCATTTCTTCTTTGGATACCACCATTATGATTATAGCACTTGTAAATTGTTATGAGTATATATATTGGAGAGCAACTTTAGAGCTCGATAAATTATATATTGAGGAGGAATGATCATTAGCACAATTGGAATAGGCTTAATTTTATTGAATCACCTTCAGTGTAGTACAGTATAACACAGTTACATGTGGTAATTATGCAGGAATTTGGTTGTGTTGATTAAAAAACTGATGATTTTAATTTGATTTATGGGCATTCTGTTTAGGTATTTGATTATGGAAGAAAACTTAAAAAACATTAATTACTTTTGATGAAGAACCTTATATAAGTGACACTATCACTACTATAATTTTTGGTAAATAAGCTACTACAGGTTGTACCTCTCTAGTCCGGCAACCTCGGGACCTGATTGGTGCCGGACCATGGAAATTCACCCTGGATAGACTTGTGCTTACGCTTGGAAGCACTAGCACCACTTTCTCTGCTTCATGGTCTCTTTGAAGATATATTGAAGGGTTAAATGTTGTACAGTAGGTTCTCAAATTTTGGGAGTTTTTAATTCGACGTTTTTTATTTGGACACATAATAAAAGATACCACGCAATTTAAAATTTTGACGGGTTTGAGCGGCCCGCCAACGATCAGAAGTGCACAAATTGTGTAAACAGCGTCATTTCTCTTATGTACAAAAGATTCATTATTGTTTATTACTGAATGTCTTTTTGATTGAATTAATTTTTGCGTGCAAGATGTACAATACAATTCATTAATAATACGTAGAATATTAAAACACACGAGGAGACGAGACGGAATTGTTTTCGTTGATTACAAAATCAGTGACTGATCGGATCTACATATAAAACTGAAGAAAATATGACCCTGGTTGTAGCTGTTGTAAAATTAATGTAAAAAATTAATATGGTTGTTTTAAGTAATGTTATTTAATGTTAATAAATGGAACAATATAAGTAGCTAACCATTAATGGTAAAGAAAAAAAAAGTGAGCTCACGTATGCAAGGGAGCACAGGTGAAAACATATGGTCATTACTCTACATAAGAATACGAAAGCAACACTTATTTACTGTTCATATATGTTTTAATTAATGTTTCTGAATTTAAAACAAAAATTCCACCACACCAGTGGTGGTAAAGTGGAAAACATAAGGACAGCCAATGTTGTTGTGCGTGTTTTTACTCGGATGACGTATGCTCAACTCTAGCCGAAGCTGTCGAACATAAGAACTTCTCTGTGTTGTTTTTAGTTTTTATTTAACTTTATCTGTGTTATTTTCGTTGGTTTATTAGGATGTTGCTTTATTACAGGTAGTAATTCGCCAAAAGAGTAGGGTAAATAAGGCAAAATTTAGCCAAACATCGAAAATACCAGACTCAAATTAATTTTCTCCTCGGGCAAACTAAAATCGTTCCGGACCACGGGAGTTTCCGGACCACAGAATGCCGGACTAGAGAGGTACAACCTGTAGTTGATGTGATGTATTTAGACCCTTGTGGAAGTCTATGAGTCTTCCATATTAATGCTCAAGATGTTATGATATACTAAGATGATAAAGAGTGGTTTACCTCCTCTACTTTTAGAATCCATCAGGTGGTGATGTTCAGCACAAAGGTAGATGATCTGTTAACTCGTTCAAGGTGATCGCTACTAAAGTGATTCGGATATCCTTTTATGATGGCATGTATGTATTTGTTGTAAAACCCAAAATGGGCATTTTACTGACCTGAAGCTTTTGAACCAAAAATTACAGTAGCAAAATTTCAACTTGTAACAAGTATTTGATATCAATCTGAATATATATATATATATATATATATATATATATATATATATATATATATATATATATATATATATATATATATATATATATATATATATATATATATATATATATATATATATATATATACAAATATATACAGTACAGTAAATGTTACACAAAGTAATCTGATGAGAAATTAAGAAGCCACTGTGGGGTGCTCTGCATTTTTAGAAAGTTTAAAGGGCATATTATTATATAACACCGTCCTTTAGTGCTGTTGTTTTAGTGTTTTATATTACATACATTTAGGAAATATATACAAGAACGTTGTTTTTAAATCTTTTTATTTCTGAAGAATTTAGTGTAATTATATGTTCTGAAAAAGCTTATGTTGACATTGTGCGTTGGCAAAGAAACTTGATTGGCTGTGTTACTCGCAAAATACTTTTAAAACTGCTACTAAGTGATTAGCCTTGCAAAATTGCTAAAAGGTATTCCATGGGTGCTAAGGAAAGTATTGTATGGTGATTATGATTTTTTTCTCATTTGCATATGAATAAATAAACTTTTTTTTTTTTTACCTAATTTTAGTTGTGCTAGCTATGCTGTGGCCAAGAATCCATTGTCCTGCAACTTTTGATAATTTTCAAAAGCCATCTGCCAGTTTAACATGACACTGATTAGATAAAGTCTGTGTACTGTACTCTCAAGAACTGGGCAATAAATCTTAATTGTTTTTACAAGTTTACAGGCACTAGTGACTTCTAAAATCATCACCTAATTTGTCTTGAGAATTGTTTTGGAAACGATTTAGAAGTCTCCTACTTCTCATTTCATTCTTTTATCTTATTTTCTCTTTCTCTACAGTATTTACATTTTTTTCTTGTTGAAAAGAGATTAATGATAACAGTTGCACCCCTGCTTGTTAACTCAGACATCATTTGATACACAGCACTATGGAAGATCAGATTACTCTTGTTGTCACCTAACTTTTTAAAGTTGATTTTAAGATTTCCTTGGGATATATGTATACAGTAGTTGTTTTTGTTATATTTATAAATCATATCATTCTTGCATTTTATATTGTTTACATCATTGCCATAAACTGTACTGTGTCTTCAAAGAGGGACAGTTTAAGAATATAGTGGTTAGAATGTACAGTAGACTATGATTGTTTTTCTTTGCACCTGTACTTTGTTTTAATTAACAGGACAGGTTATAAGGAAAGTTTATACAGTATGCTTTCCCTGATGCCCCCCCCCCCCTTGGGAGGTTCCCATGCAAGTGTTTCCCCACTGTGATGCCGAGTGGCTGGAATCAAGATCAATGTTGGCTCTCCTTTTAGTTGCTGTTACTCATTTTCTCTAACAGCCATAACAGTTGTGCTTGCTATGTCTCTAATGGAGGATAAGTCAATTGGTAATTTGAAGTTAGATATATAGGTACAGTACAGGAAAAGTAACTCAATTTGCCCTTGCAAACCATTTCACGCCCAACTAGCTCAGGGTATTGACAAGTGTACAGGTGTGATAAAAGTTAATAGGAGCAGAGCTGAGTGTGTGCGACTTTTGTACATATGAAAGTTACAATATATTCAACTTTGAAGATTTGTGGTTGTGAAGTGTGTTGTTGGGCTTTCATAGTGATTATGTGTTTCTAGCTGTGATATACGAAAAAGAGGGAAAATATATACCGTATAAGACTTGTGTCTGAAGGTAGTACTGTACTGTATGAGGAAGAAACCATCCCAGCAGATTGATCACATGAAGAGAGGTGAGAGATGGTAAAGGATACAAGTATTATCATAAAGGAAATATGGGAAGATGAGTTGCATGGAAAAATAAAAGAGAAGGCCATCATTT